GCTGGGCCGGTCCCAGAGGCTTGATGGGGGTGTCTCCACTGCAGAGCGATGCCTGCCTTCACAGCTCCCTCTGTCCCCAGGGTCACTGCCTGCCTTTGAAAACAAAAGCCCACTGGAGGAACTTCCAAGAGATTAACTAGGGGTGGAGCTGGCAAAGCGGGTGCTGTAGCCAAGAGAGACTAACTGTTCTGAGCACACAGAAGGGAATGGAGTACTTGAAAACTGATTTTTTTGTTGTTGTTGCTGTTGGGTAAATCGCTTTTTAACTTCCAAGCAGTGTTGCAAGTCTGTGGGTCAGCTGTGTTTTGGCCAAAGAAATGAAGTGGACTCCAGCCGCCCCCACTCCCAATCCCTGCTACAGACTGTAGCCGTGAGCGGCCCTCACTTGGGAGCTGTTGTGAGATGCAGTGACCCTGAATGTGCAGATCGTGCACCATTTCTTTTAGTCTCCAGCCCAGACCTCTCCTCTGAGCTTTAAACAGAAGTGTCCGGCTGCTTATACTGCTGCCACCACGGATTTCTCAAGGGCACCTCCAATCTGGCCCCCAATCCAGAAAAATGCGTGACTTGAGGCCTGCAAAACTGGCTCCTTCAGCAAAAGGCATCATTTTCCACACAGATACTGGAAGTCATTTTGACCCCCTTGCTCCTCCTCCTCTTCCCTCTCAGAGTCAACGCTGTTACCAGCCTGCATGCAGTCCTGCCCTGCTTCAGTCCCCTGCCATCTTCCACAGCCTGGATCTCTGATACCATCCCTCTGCTTACAGCTTTCCAGCAGCTGCCTATTGCTGTTGGATTAAAAGCCCTACATGGGCTGACCCTGCCACCTCTCCTGCCCGGTCCCATTCTCTGCTCTGCCTCTAGTTCAGGAGAGAATGGGCTTGCCCCAGAAGGGGTTATTTAGCACCAACATCTGGGACACAGACTTCACAGAAGAGAGGGTTTGCCTTGGCTGATTATCACAAATCCAACCCGGAAAACGGGGAACACCACGAGTGAGAATATTGGGTTTTAACAAACGAAACCAGCTCATTTAGCTGCCTCCTTTTCCTGGTCTGCGAAGCCCAGAGGACCTATGCATTATCGGTGAGAGTGTGACTTGCTTTTGAAGTCTACTGTCTTCAAATGGTTCTTGAACCCAGGCAGCAGATCATGGTAGATCACCTTCAAATCCTGCCTCCTCCATTTAGTAGTTCTAGAACCTTGGGCAGGATTATAACCTCCTTGACCCTCAGTTTCTTTATCTATAACATAGAGACAATCTTACCTGTTCTGCCTGCCCCAAAGGACTGCTTTGAGGCTCAAAGAATGCATTCAGCCATTATGTATGGATAAGGTGATCACAAGGTTACTGTCCAAACCGAGCCCATTTTGGGAGGAACGGCCTAGTTACACAGGGAGCCATCCCGTATGCGGGGCCAGCTTCCGACACGCTGGCCGCCGCTCTCGCAGGTCCTCACCCGTGTGACGAGCAGGGCCCTGTGTACCCCACAGGGGAAGAAAAACACGTCTGTAAATGGGTACGTGCTTTGTGTCCCTGTGGCGATTATTTCAACTCCTTAGATAGTACAAGATAATCAGTGGGTTTGTTTTTAGAAGCTACTAAATTACACACTTTGGTCCTGCTACTGTGTCTGGCAGATTACAGACATTAGCCTTTGAAGGGACGCCTGCAGATCGGGGCAAAGGCCGTGTCGGGGAGACGTCTGCATACGCCCACGTCCAGCAGCGTGACCCTGATCCTTCTGCTCTCTTCCGTCGTTTCTGGGGTGGGGTGGGTTCTGTAAAGACTAGGAAACCTGCTAGGCAAATTCTGCAAGAGCTTTTTGTCTTCTCCACTTCTTTCTTCTGCCTCTGTTTTTGTCATCTCTTTTTTTGTCTTGGTCTCTCTCTTCATCCCCCGACTCATGTCCTCTCCCGGGACTGTGGCATTGATTTTTGATTTGTCATGCTTGGTGCACAGTGAGACTCAGCGGGAAAAAGCCACCCTCGTGGGAAGGCCAGTGGTCCCCTGGGGCGGCTCAGGGCAGCGCAGCGATAGGGTGAGGCAAGCGAGACACTCTCCTGGGGGCAAAATTTTAAAAGGCGCCCGAAACTCAGTCATTGGGATGTATACTATATTGATGCCATATTTTAAAAGGTAACAGTTAATGCAAAATTTCCATGGTGAGCAAAATATGAAAATTTTAAATAAGGACAGGATCAGCGTGGAGTCACATTGTAGCCATCCTTGCTCCTCACCCTTCAGAAGCCCCTTGGGACAGAGCGTGGCCTGTACAGACAGCAGAGCAGCCCTAACGAGCCTGGAGCTGCCCCTGCAGATGGTGTCTGGCAAATGTCCCCTAGGTGCTCATGCCTCCAGCCTGGGGTGGTGTCCACTGGAGCCCAGGACCAAGCGGCTGCCCTGGTCCTCACTAGGACTGGGACCCTCTGCTTGGACCCCCCACTTGTTCCCCAAAGCAGCTGCCTCAGGGTCCCACGTCTAGCCCCAGCTTTGTGCTGAAAGGTGGCCGAGGCAGCCCAATCCCAGAGCCTGCCCTCCTAGAAGCTCTTTATTGTCCCTGGAGAGCCCCTCTCGTCCTATCCCCTCCCAGGACTCTCCTGTTCATAAAGGGCCACCCAAAGGCCACTCGCCCTTGTCCCTTCCTCCAGACGCCACGAGTGGAGGCATGTGGATAGGCCCAGGCCACTGGCCACACTGTGGAGCCCCTTGCTGCCCTGCTCCGTGTCCCTGAAAATAGACTCGGAGGCAGACACTTGGGTGCAGGGAGTTTATTTGTGAGATAATCCCAAAGGAAGCAGGGATCGGGAATAGGGCAGAGGGAGATGCGGAGGGAGACAAAGCCAATATCTGGTAGGGTTCGAGATCACCCCTGGGGCAATGGGATTGTGCCCTGAAGGGCCAGGCACTGGAACACTTACTGGTGCCCACCCACCACTGGTTGGGCCGGGCCGGGCTCCAGGGCCGCCGAGGACTTGGGCCACAGTGGGCAGACACGCAGGGCCCCGCTCGCCTGTAGAGCCCAGAGCCTCCCCAGCCTGGCTGGGACCCAGGCACCACTCTTCATGTGGAACATCCTGAGCTCCCATGGCCAGGATCACTGACTTCCCTCACCCTCCTCCCGTCTCCACCGTGGTTCCCTGGTTTGGCACAGAGTTGGGTCTGCAGTAACTGCTTTTCAGATAAATGTGCGACTCACAGGAGACAGATGGTTTTGTTCTCTTATGCCAACTCTGTCAGTAAGTAGCTGCTTTGAGAACCGTGCCAGAAAGCCTCTGAGGCTAGGTTGAGGCTCAGTAGAGAAGCATGTCCTGGTGGGTGGCTGTGGCGGCAGTGCTCCTGTCCCCTCTTTGACATTCCTGCCAAGTTAGAAGTTTTGTAAAGGGAGGTGGTTCTGTAGACACTGGAAAATCTTATGACTTATCTAAGGAGCCAGTTAGCATATGCCATTGACAATGCTTAGAATGCTGGTTTCTGGCCGGGAGCCGTGGCTCAAGCCTGTAATCCTAGCTCTCTGGGAGGCCGAGGCGGGCGGATTGCTCGAGGTCAGGAGTTCAAAACCAGCCTGAGCAAGAGCAAGACCCCGTCTCTACTATAAATAGAAAGAAATTAATTGGCCAACTAATATATATAGAAAAAATTAGCCGGGCAAGGTGGCGCATGCCTGTAGTCCCAGCTACTCGGGAGGCTGAGGCAGGAGGATTGCTTGAGCCCAGGAGTTTGAGGTTGCTGTGAGCTAGGCTGACGCCATGGCACTCACTCTAGCCTGGGCAACAGAGCAAGACTCTGTCTCAAAAAAAACAAAACTTCACTGTTTGGCATCTTACTCCAAAAAAACAAACAAACAAAAAAAAAAAAACAAAACAAAAAAAAGAATGCTGGTTTCTGTGATGGAGGAAAGAAGCTGCTTGCAGTGGTGACTATGATATCAGTTTCTACTTACCAAGTGCCTATCAGAGCCCAGAAACTGTGCGAGGTATTTCATATCTGTTTCCCCATTAACCCTCACACTGCCCCCAGAGGTGCATGCTGTCATTCCTGTTTTCCTTGACGGCCAAGTTGAGACTCAGAGACACTGAGTAAACCACCCAAAGTTGCACAGGTGTGGGCTCCGTGTTCTCCTGGCATCACTGCTCTGCCTCGTGGGCAAGCCTCTGCAAGCTGCGGCGTGAGAGCGGTCAGCGGCCTGAGGGGCACACACGGAGGGCTCACTCTGTCACACGGGGTGGCATAAACTTGGGCAGAGACCCGAGCCCTGCAGGGGCTGAGAGAAAAGAGAGCTCAGGCTGAGCTGGTGACCAGAGAGGGCCTCCTGGAGGAAGCAGAGAAGGAGAACGCTAAAAGGGGAAAGATGGTTGGCATTTGGGTAGCAAGAGAGCAGGACATGAGTGTTTTCTGGGTGGGAGGGGCACAGCCCCGGCCAAGGGGCGATAGCACTGGGCATTGGAGGCACACGGGTGACCAGTGTGGATGTCCTGGAGGCTGGTGGAGTTGCTGAGCCTCAAGGCACAGTAGTCGGGGGACCTGCAGGGTCAGGGGCTGGTAGTGAAACAGCTGGGGCGGCACAGAGCCAGTGCAGTGAGGCAGGGTGGAGGGACGTTTGTCAGGGAGCATCACTGGGGACGCAGGATGACAGGACAGGAGCTTCCTCGAGGGTTTCCATGAAGGCGCCAGGGCCTTCGGCCTCCTGCAAGAGGAGCTGGCCGTGTCCTCCAGAGCAGCGGCCGGGCCAGCCCCTCTCCTGCCTCAGGCTTCCTGTCCGCGCCCTGCGTTGTTGCTGGGAAAGAGTGTAGCCTGCACGGGGCGCAGCGCAGCCAGCAGGCCGCCAGCCAGCTCTGCCCCGCTGCTGCGGCAGGCACACCCGAGGCCCCCACTTTAATTCCCTGCTTCTCTAGAGCGATTTCTTGAAGCCTCCTTAGATGACAGCCTGAACCCCTTATCAAAAGGTGTTTCAGCTGCCAGCGGCAAAAATCCCCACTCAGGCATCTTTCCCGCACAGGGCATCGCTGTCCTCCGTGCCAGCTGGGTCCCTAGGCCCATCCTCCCTGCGCAGTCTCCTGGACCTGCTTCCGCCCGCCGGGAGCCGCCTCAGGCCGGAGGCGTCTCAATGGCTGTCTGCGCCTCACAGGGTCCGGAGGAAGAGGAACCACCCCGTCTGCCCGTCCAGCGTTTGCTGGGTGCCCGCCGTGTGCCCGAGCGGCTCTGAGTCCAGCAGGGAGGCGGACGCTCGGCGGTAACCGTGGCGGGTCCCCCCGTTGCGGCTGCTGGAAAGTGGTAAGTGCTGCCCAGAAAAAGAGGGTGCGGGCTCCGGGGGAGCTAGGTGGGGCCTGTTGGAAGCGTCTGGAGGACACAGCTGGACAGAGGGCAGCGGGCAGAGACCCGGAGGAGGAGGCAGCAAGAGGGCAGCTGTGGTGCTCAGTGGGGGGGGTGGCAGGTGCTGTTAGAGGTGACAGGGCCAGGCGGTGGCCATTGTAAGGACTTTAGCCTTTACTCTGAGTGGGAGGGAGGTCATCGCAGGGCTCGAGGCAGGGTTGTGGCACAGTCTGGCTGGCATTTGGAAAGGCTCCCTCTGGCTGCTGTAGCAACAAGGAGTCTATTAACAGGCTGCAAGGGTGATCCAGGCTGGGCCCAGGGGGACAGTAGTGGAGGTGGTGGGAAGCGGTCCGATTCTGGACACGTTTTGAAGTCAGTGCAGCAGAACTTCCACAACCAGCAAGGAGTTGTCATCGCCCCCGGGGGGTGGGGAGAACGGCGCCCCTGTTTTGGGGGGCGAGCTCATGGTGCACGTGCTGGGAAGACAGGCTGCGGAGGAGGCGGGTGCCCAGGTGAGCCTGGAGGGCAGGGAGTGGTGTGGGATGGAGCTCCAGGTTCAGGTGCTGGGTGAACGGTGCTGTTTGCAGCCGTGGGCTGGGCTGGGTGCAGAGGCAGGCGCAGAAGGAGAAGAGCAGTGGGCACGCTGGGCCCCTCCAGCAGGTCAGGGAAGAGGGGGGCAGGGAGAGGGAAGCAGGAGGGGTGCCTCAGCAGTCTCAGGGCAGGAGGACACTGGGGAGTGTGGAGATCTAGAAGTCAGGAGAGGACGTGAAGGAGGAGTGACCACTGTGGTCAGTCACTTATGGCTGAGGGGCTCCCTAGCCAGCCAGCACCCTGCTGTCAAGGGCGGTGGGAAGACAGTAGCTGTTAGGAACGAAAACCCCCTGCTGGGGAGGGGTGCCCTATGCACTCCCCGCCCCACAGCTGGGTGGAGACAGTGAGGACCCTACTCCTGGGGCAGCTGACTGCACAGCTCCTTAGGGCCCCCTTCCAGTTTCTGTGGCCGCTGTCCTCTTTGACAGCACGCAGACTGCGGTCCCGGCTGCCACTTCCTGCCGTGGCAGGCAGGGCGTGTGGCTGCCTCGGCCGCCATCTGCCCAGCCAGGCCTGGCTTCCTGTCTGTGTGCTGTGGGCTGTCCTTGTAGTCATAGATCTTGTCTGGTTGTAAGTTTTGGATCTGGGAATTTCTGTCTCCCAGTGACAAGCCGTTGTTATCTTTCCATTGTTCTGGATCAGTGGTTCTCAGCTTTAGCCTGCACCAAATTGGCCCAGGGCTTATTAAAGAGCAGGCTGCCGGCCCACCCCTACATTCATGCTCCAGTAGGTCTGGAGTGGGAACCTGTGAGCTTGCTTTCCTACACATTCCCAGGTGTTGCTGCTGCTGGTGGTCCAGGGACACCTCTGGGGTGTGTGTGCATGTGTTTGTGCACGCGTGTGTGTGCGCATTTTTATGTGTGTGTGTGTGTGCGCACACGCCGGGAGTGGGAGGCCCCCTTAGCCCCACTGCTGCGTTCCAGGGGAACTTTACAGTGGGCCTGGCTGTGGCCTTGGTCAGGCTGAAAATGCTCACTGGGGTGCGTGGGAGGGGCTGGGCTGGCCTGATCGTTTGCTGCAGCTGGTCTCCACTGACACGCTAAAGCATGGCGTTTGCTATTGCTACTTCAGCATGGGGCAAAGAACTCAGCTTTTCCAACCATACAGGCTTCAGGTCACCAAACACGGGGTCCCACCCTGAACCCGGACATCTGCTGTCCCTTTGGGGGTGCTAGCAAATGTGATGACCACCCCCAATTCAGACATTCAGAGGCTGCCGTCCAGAAGCCCGTTCCCCCGGCCACGCCCTGCCCAGCATAGAGGGGCAACTCCCCACTCTGGGAGAGGCAGGAGCCCCCCAACCCCTGAGCTTGCCTCGCTCAGTCTCCTCAGAACCAGTGTGACGCTGGGGTTGCACCCCTCTTTACAGAGGGGCAAATGGAAGCCCCTAGTTGTCACCAAGCGCGTCCAGGGCCGCGCAGCTGGAGCCCCGTCTCAGGACGCTTCAGTGCTAGTGCACTCGGCCACGTGCTGCAGCAGCTCCCGGCCTGGCTGCACCTGCATGCCCGTTTGCGTGCCAGGGACCTCGCCCAACCAGCGCAACACTGATTTTAGGGTCGAGGGGCAGGGTGGGGTCAGGGGACAAGGGCCCTCCCCGCCGTGGTGCCACAGGACCCCTCCTCTCTCTGCTTCTCTGTCTCTGTCTGTCGCCCTCTCTCTTTTTTTGTCTCTGTCTGTCTCTCTCTTTTCTTCCCTCTGTCTCCATCTTTTTATAGGGGAGGCAAACTTTGACCTCTGCCCTTTTAGGGTTTTCAGCTGGGCCTGAGAGTTAAGTTGGCAGAAGACAGATGAGCAAGAGAGAAGCAAGCATATTTATTCAACACGAGCTTTACGCGGCACGGGGGCTTCACAAGGACATGAAGTCCCCAAGCACAGTGAGAGGTGGGCGCCTACGAGCTGGGCTAGCCAAGGCGGTGGACGAGGCGAGGGCTTGGGCTGGGGGTGACTGGTGGAGGACGGGGGCAGTCTGCCGGTTTGTCCGCCAGACTTCCCTTGGCCTCGTCTGCCCGCCTTGTGGCTAGGGGTGCTGCTCTCCTGCTGCCGCAGGGGGCGTCTTTCACGGGACATCATCTCCTGCTTTTGGGGAACAGGAGGAAGGTCAGAGGGATCTTCTTGTACCTGCTGCTTTTCAAGTGCCTTGAACTCAAAACAGCCAATATGCTGGACTGGTAGGTTTTGAGGGGGCCTCTTTTTAACTTCTTCATTCTCTTTGTTTCTGTTTCTCTGCCATTCTGTCTCTATTTCTCTCTGTCGGTCTCTATCTCTCTCTCTGTCTCTGTTTCTCACTCTCTCTGTCTCCTGCGCTCTCAGCCTGTCTCCCTGTCTCTATAGCTCTGTTTCTATCTCTCTGTCTCTCCATCTCTATCTCTCAGTCTCTGTCTCTATCAATCTTTGTCTCTCTCTATCTCTCCATCTCTGTCTCTGTCCCTTTCTGCCACACATACACTGGCTTTCTCCGCCCCTCCGGACACGTGGGACACAGGCCTTAGGAGACATGCAGCGGCGCAGTCCAGATGGTAGGCTGGTCTGAGGAGTGAGACATTCTGGGAACAGGCTGCGTGGATTTCAACCCCAGCTCTACCATTGACAGTTGCACAGCCTTGCACACATTCTCTGACTTCCCTGACACAGCGATGAGAACAATGACATTACCTGACACGGTTATTGTGATGATGAAATACATTATTCTAAGCAGAGCATTTAAAACAAAACCTGGTGTGTGGTAAGCACTTGGACAACGTTAACCAGCTTCATTCTTATTCTTCATCTTGCTGCCGTGGTCACTGCCACCTCTGAATTCCAATGTCCATTTCTTGGAGCCAGACTGTGACTGGCCCAGCTTGTGCCAGGCTGTGTATTTGGTAAGTCTGGTCTGATCCCAGCACTGGAGAGCTACCGTGGCCCACCATGGCCATGCGGCTGAAGTGGGGAGACGGGGGACCACTGGGGGGCAGGGATGGGTTGAACAGCGTCCTCAAGGTCAGATCTCGGGTCACCAACCATCCCAGCCTGCCTGGGACTGAGTGGTTTCCCTGGAAATGAGATTTTCAGTGCTAAAATTTAGAAGGTCCAGGGGAAACAGGGAAGGTTGGTCACCCTACAAGTCAGAAATGATTTCTATGACTCCCAGGTGGGGTCAACATGCTGGGCATGATGTGTGTTGAGAGTCTGTTTTGATCCTTGGAGGGAGAGTGAACAGACGAGGAGGAGGTGATTTGGGAAATCTTCTGTGACACGTCCCCTGCTGCTCCAAATGTTCTTGTCATCGGCCCTCCTCCCTAGCATTCTCCAGAAACTGACCCTTGCCAGCTGCTGACATGGTTTAGATTTTTCAGCGCTTCCAGTTTGTTAGCCATCTCCCAGTGCCAGCACCATTACTAAGAAGGGCTTTCCCACATCCTCAGACCTCTCCTGCCACCGACCTGCACATGAAACTCGATTACTTTCTCCTTCGGTTTAATGTACTCAAGATTGAGTTAAGATTCGAGTATTTTATGGAAGGCAGAGTGCATTAAGCTGTTATGGCTCATTAGGGTTTTAGCCTGGATAACTGAATTAGATTATTAGTCAGTCTCTGAGCAGCGCTGCAGCCTAGGGCACAGAAAACCTGCCTTGGAGGAGAGCAGAGAGGACTGCAGCCTGAGGCTGCCCGGTGGGGGACGAGGGCCCCGGCCAGCCCTGGCACAGGGTGAGAGGCAGGCGCTTCCGCCCAGGCGGCTGTCCAGTCAGTGCTGAACAGGGAGTGCTTTTTCCCTCCAGGGAAACTGGTTCACAGCTGTGGACAACTTTTCAAAGAGCTAGAAATAAAAGGATAGGCTGAGAACGGACTGGGCCTGAAGGTCAGCGTGGAACACTCTGAGTGGGTCTCTAAGGAAAACTGACTTTCATGAGTTGCTTCTTTGAGCCTTGGTTCTTTTTTCCATGCCCATACAGAGGGGTGAGGACGCTGGGACACGGGCGGGGAGACGTATGACACATTCATTTGTTCACCCACTTACACGCCCACTGACAGAACTAGTTTTAAGCAAACTCACACTTTACAAAGCTTATAAAACTAAGAAAGAAGGAGAGATGACTCAAATTACTAAAATTAGAAATGAAAGGGGACATCACTACCATTCTACAGAAATAAAACGGATCATAAGAGAGTACTGTGAATAATTGTATGCCAACAAATTGGATAACTTAGATGAAACAGACAAATTTCCAGAAACACAAATCATATCAAGGCTGAATTACAGCAAAATAGAAGATTTGAGAAGACTTATAACTAGTAAGGAGATTGAGTCAGTAATCAAAAATTTCTTGACAAAGAAACGCTGTGGACCTATGGCTTCAGTGCTCACTCTACCCAACGTTTAAAGAAGAGC